ATATAAAATATTAGTAATTTTAGGATGTTATTAAAGCAATAAATTATTTCATGTAATATTAATAATTTCGTATTTAATTGATTGAATATAAGTATTTAAATCTTAGCGTGTTTATTCCATTCTAGACTAGTGTTTTTTTTCCTTGAATTCAGAATGGTAAAAATTTATTAAATGAATAGTTCTAGTTCCTTGGTGGTTAATTTGTCTATGCAATAATTTTAATTTTTTAATTAAAACTAGTAGCTTTCGATTTCAATAAAGTTCATAAGATTGGAAACATCTCATGATTTGTATCAATACATTCAATATTAAATAATTATGTATTAGATATTAAGATAATGGGCTTGTTTACATTTTGCCTCATAAATACGATTGTGGCGGCAGAATTCGCCGAAAGTTTGCTAGTCTTCTATTCGGTTTCAGAAAGTTTGCAATTACTCCAACTCGGTTAACTTCATTTTTTGCAATTATATATTTTGAGCCTTGGTAGTATGTCACCGTACGCGACTATATGCGCTTCCCCTATTATGACCTGCTCAGAAGACCACGAAGAAACAATTCATAATATGAAAAGAAGAAGTAGAATTATAGTCTTAAAGAAATATACTTGAGTGGTTCTCAAGGAAGAACCAAGGCTTCAGTGAATAGGATTTCTGAAAGCTATGGCAGCTAACATCGTAGTGGAAGACCAAGAAAAAAAAATAGTGCGTGGAGTCCCTCCGCTGGGAAGAAGTTAAACTTCGCAATCTGCGACGTTATTGTAGAAGAATCAGCAGTCGTAGAAGGATCATTAGTTCTATTCAACGACTTTTTTTCCTGCTCCGCTCGCTTCCGTGCTCTGTAATCACAGTAATATTGCGCATTTTTCCCTCTTGGACCTCTTGAATCAGTGGAAGTGCTTGTGGTTGCCTCATCGCCCTGGAAAATGTATTTGTATTAATAATGTACGCGTCATAATGTAATTTCAGAAGAGAAAACCTAACAATCATGGGAAACATACGAATTGAAGTTATGTGGTCTTTTTCTGATGAAAATAAGTTTGATTTGGATGGACTAGATAGCTATCGATATTTTCTGTACGACTAACGTACTGTATCACACTTATTTTCCTAACGTCAATTGAGTAGTTGGTCTGTTATGGCACAGTCCGTTTTCGGAGCAGACGGTATAACTTCAATTATATTTATACAAACTAAAATGATTTCATTTATGTATCAGGATGTATTGGGATATAATTTATTGCAAGTTGCTCCTCTTATTACATATCCGAAGACTGGACCTACCAACACGACAATGTGGCAGTTCATACTTCAACTTAATCATAAATGAACGCAATTAAGGTTAAATGCCTTGAATGGCATTTAATTGAATGGATATTGCTTATGAATGAAAATGTAATCAGGTCAACTCGCAATTCGACTTATCTGTTCTTTATCTTAGCTAATGCTGAGTTAAAATGTAATTTAAATTCAAATCAGAGGCTTATATTTTAAAAAATAATAATAAATAATTCGAAATTACATTTTGGATAATTTCCCTTTGCAATTATTAAACTAAGAAAATACATAAGTGAAAAAAATAAATTACCGCATAATATGTACAAGACTTCCTTAAAAAACAAATTAAAAGAGTGAAAAAAATATCTAAATTAAACCAAATTTACTTTAAAGTTGTAAAAATGCTAAATTTCTGATTTTTTTTTTAAAAAAAAGTACCTCTAATTAAGAGGAAGAATATATCAGCTATTTATGCGAAATTTAAGGAAGTGGCTCAAAAGTTTCAAACTCATACAAGGAATCATTCAACATTAAAAACGTATAATGGGCATAATTACTGCATTTTCTTGTCATTGTTAAAATTCGCTTTTTATTTATAAGACAAATAATTTTAATAGCATAACTGCTCTAGTAACAACCATTTAATACTCAGTTAGAAATGAATTATTAATAATTTTTAGAAATTATCAATTAAACAAAAAAAAATTTAATTAATTAATTAATAATTTTTCAATAAGAAACTAAGAAATGTATGATTTTTAATGTGTACTCAACACTATTTAGATTTGTAGTTCGTTAAAGATTTCCAAGGAATGAGACCCCAATACTCATAATCTTGCTAACGCCCCCCTAAAAATCTCCAGTACAGTTTGGGGGCGAATCCAACCCATATTAGAAACCGGTAACATAGAAGTTTCATTGAAAATTAAAAAAAAGCAAGTTCTGCGCAATTTTTGTGATATCTTGAATAATTTAACTTAAATTTACATAATTAAACTTAAATTAAAATTTTTGATAAGTATGTTTTTACATTATTTTAATATTGTTATCTAGATTAGAATTCTTATAATTAATGCACAGCTGCGTGTTTTGAAATGAAAGTTTACGAACTAAATTCCCTTCGAAGATTATAGATTTCTATATATCTGACATAAATAAATAAAAATAATTGTTCAAAATTGACGGTTAATTAATATCAAAAAAGTATTTATTTCTACAGCAAATGATAAAATGCATCAAATAAACGAACGCGTATTAAAATAATGCTTTTATTAAATACCTCGTAGAAATGGAGGTTGTATAAGATTAAAAAAAGTAAATGTTGCAATTAGAATCGATTATTGAGTAAGAAGTTGTCTGTAATTGAAAAGATAAATGTCGAGTACTTTTGTTAATGAAGAAGGCTCCTTTTGTTGCAATAAAAAAATACAAAAATTATAAATACTTTTGTATTAATAAAAGCATTAAAACTCTTTCGTTTTCATATAAAATCTTTGGTAAAGGATAAGTGTAGAAATTCTATTTTGGGACTTCAAGGTTGAGAACATACCAATGAATAATAATTAGATTTATATTTCAAAAGAGAAGTTATTTTAAGATCTTTCACTTCCATGTAAGGGAAGATTAAACGATTTTCTATGAGTAATAAATAATTGCGATGAGGCGTAGGAATACAAGAAATGCATTTGACTGTCCTTTTTACCCATTATAATTATCGTATGAAATCGAGGAGCAATGGTTTTTGGTGTATAATGTTTACCAACTAAACTCCGTCAGATCTGACTGAAACTCTCCCTCTCCGGCTGGAGAGGGGTGAAACTGCTATTTCACCATCGCTACTAAATAAAAAAGATTATGCCGAAACTGGACTCCTTAATCATGCTGTTTTGACTTCTAATTAACTAAAANTTATTTACTCATTAAAGCCAGTTATATGTTTATTAAAACATAAAAGCATTCGGCTGCTATTTGTTCTTAGTGCCAATACTTATACTTTTACAATATCGTTGATATTACATGAATATTCTCTTCTTTATATACTTTAGACAAACATTATTTCGTTAAATTTATGAGTTTTTACACTTAAAAAGAAAAACATTTCTTTTATTAATGAGTGCTCTTATAACAATCCCTATGTTTTGGATAAAAAATATTTTAACAGCGGAATACAAAAGGCGATGTGTTTTTCTGTGGTTAGGAATAACGCTTTGTTTAAAAAGTAACTTAGTTGCCTAAATTGTACCTCTTATAGGCTCTTAAATGGGACAGATACGGAGGCAATTCTAGGGTTAACATTTACCAAATAAGTTTAGAATCTTTCAGGATCAGATTAATTTTTCCAACGATTTGGCCAGCAATTAAAAAGTAACATCGTTTTCAAATGATTGAAATTCATGAAATAAAATAGAGCTCATTTGATGAAATGCAAGTTTGCCTACCCGTTCTTGTATAATGCTTGTATAATGCTGTTATATTTCTTTTGTATGGTTATTTGGCTCATTCAAAAAACTAGACAATTTGGAGTTGTTCTGAAATAATGAATTAATTCCGTCTCAGCTACCAGACACACAACGAATCTATTCCAACCGCTGAACAAATAATTTTTTTCAAGCCCTTTAAACTACACTTAATTTAAGCTTTATAGAACCTTATAAACTTCACTTTATAGAAGTTTTTCAGTCCTGATTGTTGCAAAATATCAAGATTCGAATCTAATGACTAAAGTTAAAAATGCGGCAGCAACAATTAACAATTAATTAAGTGAGTAATACTAAATAGTGGCACAGTAATAAACTTAGCAAAATGTCATTTTACAATAATACTTAACAACAATTAGAAATGTCGTATAATTGCCTAGGAAGAAATGTCTTGAAAAAATTTTAAAAATTAGTTTGAAATAGCAAAATAAATGTAAACTAATAAAAATGGATTAGATAAAGATTTAATAATTCATAACGTAGACAGGTATTTCATTACATAAAGTTAGCTGAATATCTGTCCTTCGTTAGGGGTGAAGAAAAGCAAATAATCAATAAATCAGTGCTGGAAAACACTACAAAACCACGGGTAAAGCCGAAAGATATAAACCAATACAATCAAGATAGCTAGAAAAAATTTGTTGAAAAATTTTATTTCAAAATTACATTCGCAATCTAAAAAATTTTATATTCACAGATGATTATGGTTTGCTATAAGGGATGAAGGAAGACTAAAAATTGTTTTTCCTTTTAATTTCGATATTTTGAAATAAATGAAATTTTCCGATAGCAATTTCCGCACACACCGGGATTCGTGAGAATAGATTACTGTAACATTTTTACATATTATTGTTGAAATTGTGTTATAATTGAAGGTATGAATGGTGATTTATTCCACCACTCTGAATTACAATATAAATACCTACTTTAAAATTCTGAAAGAAAAGAGAGAAAAAACTTACCGCTCGTTAGAATATTATTGAACTGATTTTTAGACTGAAAGTTTTCAAACTAGTTAACATTTAATAATTCATTATAAATAATAATTTATGCATAAAAAAGAAACTATAAACCAATAAAAGAGAAATATAAAAAAAAGGGAATACATAAAAAAGAAGAGAAATAATAATTTATACATAAAAATACTGTTTTTCATGAAGATAAACCAATTTTTTTTGTCAATGTTTATTCTTCTTTTCTCTGTAATATTTTAAGAACTGAATTGACTTCGAACACGAATATCAACTAAAAATTTTACTCATAAACGCAAAATTTTCACACTCATTCCAGAAGATTATTTCTATGAAGAAAATATTCATGTTATGAAGAATTGCGAACTTTTCTGAAAGACGCGACATCTCTATACTCTGTTAGTATTCGAGAACTGATTTAACCTATAAGAACTTGATCTGAAAATTAACCAAAAAGGATTTTGTAAAAGATGGTGGCTTATTTTCCCTCGAAACTTAGACTAGCAGTTGTACCCCCGACCAAAGCCATAGAAGTTACAAGAATCGGCAACACTACCATTATTTCGGGAGTTGAAGCTGAATTTATAAAACTATTGGCACAAGCATTAAATTTCGAATATGAGATTTTTGTTTCTCCAGATTATTTCGGGGAAATGGGTCCATCCGGAAACTACACTGGAATGATGGGAATGCTGCAAAGGAATGAAGTTGACATGGGATTGACCTACTTAGATGTTACCTATGAGCGCTCAAAAGTTGTAGACTCCAGTGCACCTTACTACTATATTGAAAAAAAGTTTATGATGAATTATGCTCCATTCTTGTCAAAAACATCAGCATTCATGTATCCTTTCAGCACACTCACATGGATTTTATTTCTTATCACACTGCTCTCTGTGTCAGTGCTATTTCGAACTTTGATTTTTCCAAAAGATTCAATTATTTCCGTTTTCTTCAATTTGTGGGGGTCTTCCTTCGGACAAGGAATGAACTACAACCCTCGCTCACTGACCAGGCGGATACCACTTGGAATTTGGCTCCTTTATTCATACGTGCTAATTTTATGTTACAGCTCTGTCCTGTTGTCATTTTTGACTTCTCCCATCAGAATGAAACAAATAAAAGATTTCAAGGAACTCTATCTCGCTGTCAGAGAGGGGAAGATTGTGTGTCTATCATCGAAGGCAACTAAGGAAGTAGATAATTTGATGAAAAGCCTTTCACCTCATTTAAGAGGATTAGGGGAATACATTAAAAAGAATGACTGGTTTTATTATCACCCTGACAAAGTCAAAGTTCCGGAACATGTAGCAATACTTGGTTCAGCTGATCTATTTCGTGTGGCTATTGGGCCACCTGAAAAATACTTTTATTCGGAGGATACTTTTGGATATTTTCATTACGGGATTGCTATCAGGAAAACATTTTGCTGCAAAGAGCGCTTGAATAGAATCGTTCTCCGAATTGTAAGTAGTGGCCTATATGAAAAATTCAAAGAAGATTTCTTCTTTAAAAAAGATTTAAAGAGATATTTAAATGTGAGTCACTCTGAGAGCACATTAGCATCACCTATAAGGTTATCAAATTTAAATGGAGTGTTTATTATTCTTGGTACAGGCTGGGCGGCAGGTATTATTGTTCTATTGATGGAAATCGCCTACTTTCGATGGTTGCGCCCGAAACATCGCCAAAATTGATATGTAAATTAGTTTTTGCTTATATAGCCTTCACTATCACCTTTTTCAGAGCATATTATTATAATAAGCGTTCAAATCAGTTGAGTTGCTAAATCGTATTTTAACTCCATGACCAACTTTCCATTCTAATTCTTGTACAACTAAAATGAAACACCTTATATTTAAAACACTATTAAATTTAACACTATTACAGGGTTTTTATAAAGTCCCTGACCCATTTTGATGTTTAATAACTCATAAAATAATAAAGATAGATTAAAATTAATAACATAAATGGTTAGATAGACTCAAAAAGTTTCATGACCCTTGTCAATGAACTTTCACGTGTGCCCCCTTCGTCGCACGGAGAATATCAAGTTGATAGTCAATTTCATGCCTCTGACTTTCAGGTCATCAATGTTCGACACGATCCTCCTGCAAACATTGTCCTTTATAAATCCCCAAATAAGAAAGTCCAGCGGCGTTATATCAGGTGATCTGGGTGGCCAAGGAATTGGATCTCCCAATCCATCTTCCTTGAAAATGATCATTCAAAGAGCTACGAACGATGATACCCAGATGTGGTGGTGCACTATCTTGTTGCAAAAAGACATGTGGCTGAAGCTCTTCTAGTTGTGGAAATACGAAGTTTTTCAACATGTCTAAGTATACGACAGATGAGACAGTCTTTTCTGTGAAAAAGATAGGCCCAATGACTCGGTCGTGCATTAGTCCACACCACACATTAACCTTTGGGGATTCCCTTTATGTCTCACGGTATTCGCGGGGGGCTTTCAGATCCCCATATGCGCACATTATGGCGATTAACAATGTCAGAAACATGAAAGGATGCTTCGTCGGAGAACATTATGCGCTTCAGAAAATCAGCAGCATCTTCTATCCTTCCTACCATATCTGTTGCAAACGCCATCCTCCTAGGCCTATCGTCCGGTTCCAAACCTTGAACAATTTGAACTTTGTATGCATGCAGTCTTAATTGTTTCTTAATAACCTT